ACCTGCGCTCACCAGGGCAGCTGCGGCCAATACAAACTTGAATTTCAGCAGTGCAGCACAAAAATTTTTGAGAGCTCACAGCCATTGCAAGACAGCTCTGTTGACTGTAAAAAGAGGCGCTCACATCTACACTTCTACGGGGTCTCGGGCACCGAAGATTTTTTTTGGCTTGGGCTAGCCAGAGAAAGAGTAAAGATATCTGTGCTCTTTACTCTTTCTATGGCTAGCGCAGCGGCGCCCTCCTCGACTTTTCTTTCCTCACACATTTTTGTTTCGCCTCCCCTGGGCTGGCTCGGCAACTACCCCAGGCGCGCTAATGTATTAAGCGCTGGGCGCGATCCACAGAATTGATTTCACCAGCATCAAAAGGCATCAGCCAGCTCGGGCGAAGAGGGCACAGCGCCGTACACGGACAGTGGCCACGCCGGTGAGCCAGCATGTTGCAGCGATATCTGGGTAGGCGGCGGCAACAGCACAGAGTGTCAGGGAAAGCAGCAGCTTCCCGTTGATCGGGGCTCGGGCCACCCATGCCCGCCCCCATACATCCTCTGGTAGCCAACCACACGAGTTCGTGCACTTCTTAACGGAGAGGGCAGGCAGAGGTTACATGCTCTCCCTGACGTTGGTACATGTATTGCTCTCTACATGGAGCATAGTCATTTAGAGCCAAGCGAGTATTTGGGAATTATCTATAGTGTTACCGCATACGACAAAGGCAGCTTACGTGTGCCTGCATGCTGGATCGCGTTGCAGTTGGAGATGCAGCAGGGAGTGCTGCAGCTCGTGACAGGCCGCGGCTCCTCTGCGCAGCAGCCCAGGCAGTTCTGCTGCTGCGCCCAAGGCGTTGTATACTGTATGGACGGCCAGATGCCTTGGAGGCGAGTTCTTATGTTGAGGCATTTGACTCTACTGCAGCTCACGATGGCCCCCAGCTGTGATAGAGTGATTTCTTCACACTTGCATACTCCTACACTTGACGGTGGGGGTTACAGCCCTCTCCTCGCGGCTTAGAATCAGTTGTTTCCGAATGTGTTTGGGGATCAAAAGTGAGATATTGCAGCTGTTTTTATTGTGTTTTTAATGACAATAGTGAGACATCAATAAAGAGTGAAAACACAACTGATGCTGCATGCTGCAGGCCGCTGGCTGGGCAGCAGCTGTATGAGTATTCCTCAGCAACGGGGGCGTTAGCCTTCTTCTGTTTCTGCAATTCACCTATCAAAATCTTGAGCTTTTCAGCTTTTATTTCATTGAAATGCAAAATATCTAATATTATACGTCATCGTAGACGCAACGACCCGGCCAAGCCGACGGGCTCCCGCAGTCCCAGCGAGCGTTGGGGCTGTGGCGTTTGTATTCTGCTTAAGGGGGAAGTTGAATTTTGCGTTTATTTTACAATTTAATTAATTATATATCCTGTTAAGTTTATGGATTCGGTTTACGATCCCATTTTGTGTATTTATTGTCGCTTTTCCCTTAAACGGGGTGGAGGGGAGGGCTGGTGGTGCTTACTGGTGTAAGCTGTAGCGGCTGCTTTTGTGGTTTCTTGTTTCATCATCGGGTTTGTTTTCCGTTGTTATTTTCCATTTCCTTTTGATCGTGCCGCTGTATACCGGGGTTTGAGCATGCACAGCAGGCTGATTCGTAGACCCCCTTCTTTGTAGTATTTTCAACTCAAGCAGAAGAACCTCTTCTGAATTTCGCTTTCATCGAAAAGAAAAGATTTCTTGCAAATAGACGAAAAAAGGAGAAAAAAAGAAACTGCAGCGGCGCTGCCGCTTCTGTTGCTGCTGCAGGGGTTTCCGTGGAGGGTTTAGTGTTTGGGGTTAAAAGGGTTTAGGGTTTAGCGTGTGGGGGCCATAAGAAATTCATTTGGCTGCTCGTTGCA